ATGGCATGTAGACCAAAGGCAGAGCTTGTCCACCAAAAGCAGGGCTGGTAGACCAAAGGCTCGTCTGGTAGACCAAATGCATGGCTGGTAGACCAAAGGCAGGGCTGGTAGACCAAAAGCAGGGTTGGTAGACCAAAGGCAGGGCTGGTACACCAAAGACTGGTAGACCAAAATCAGTGCTGGTAGATTAAAGGCAAGGCTTGTAGATCAAAGGCAGGGCTGGTATACCAAAAGCAGGGCTGGTAGAACAAAGGCAGGGCTGCTAGACCAAATGCAGGGTTAGTACACCAAAAGCAGGGATGTTAGACCAAAGGCTGAGCTGGTAGATCAAAAGCAGGGCTGGTAGATCAAAGGCAGGGATGGTCGACCAAAAGCAGGGCTGGTAGACCAAAGGCATGGCTGGTAGACCTAAAAGTAACACCAAGAGCAGATAATTTCATCAGAGTCAGCAGTTTGCGTTACAGAACACTGACTGCTCAAAACATCACTGCACAACTGAAGCAATGTCGTTAAAATGTCGTAAAAAATGTGCCAACATCCACTGCGAGGAGAAGATTCTGTGAAGCTGACATATATGTCAAGACACCACTATTGAGGAATTAAAACAATGTCAAAAGGCTTCAGTGTGCCACGACGCACAAAAACTGTACAATAGAGCAGTTGAATAAAGACCTTTGAACTAAGGAATCAAAGTTCGAAATCTTTTGGCCAACAACAAGAGCAGAAAACAATTTTATCAGAGTCCCCAGCTTGCATGGCAGAAGGCTGACAGCTCCAAATTTTTGAGAGTCGCCTAATAGTTTTGATTGGTAGTGTATATATTGCATATGTGGTAACAGGGTGTTGATAATTAATAAGTATTCAGAACATTGATATTTATCTTTTAGTGCTTCATTTTTAGAAAGTTCACGGACTGGAATTTTATCAAGGTTAATCTTACATCTCGGAATCGAACGGAAATTGTACAATTTTATTATTTTGAAAATCAACATTCAATTGTGTTGACGCAGAAAGTCTACTAATACGCATTCAATCGGAGTTGGCCGCCCTCTGAATCAATCATTGCCCGTTTGATCGGAGGAGGTTTAAGCAAACAGGTTCTGTACATGACTTGCTAAGATCTGACTACAGTCAGCTCGCACAGAAGAAAATATTGATCGCGTATTGACCAACCCAGAACCGAGAATGTCCATTCGAAGACGATCTATGCAGCTGAATGTGCCTCTAACATCATTACACAGAATCATGAGGATAGATTTACGCCAGTGTCCCTTCTTTTTTCGTCTTTTATGTGTCGTGTCGTTTCAGGACGGAGGTGATCATGTCTCTCCACATCCTCCTGTGATAAATAACCACATTCAGGTTTATTATTTAATATTCAGGTTTATTACTTAATTATTCCGACTCAATAAACCTCTGGAGTAATTTGAAATCTAATCCTTACTATCAGGATAATACGATAGACCTTCTTATTACATAATGCACTATTAATAATATAGCATATATATATATATATATATACACACACACACACACACACACACATATATATATATATATATATATATATATATATCCATTCGATTAAATGTCCGTCGGTCAAATGCTCGAGTACGCCTCAATACAGGCTTGGGTCCTTTTCATTTTATTTCTGAACACCGCCATCAGTAGTTCGCTTGCAATAGACTGATTGAATTGTTATCGCTTTTATTCAAGTCATCCAGTGTGTGCGGACGATCTAAATACACTACAGATTTTGATACTGCTCATAGATAAAAATCTGGTGAACGCGGGGGTACACCTCTTTGGAAATAATGTCCGAGTACCCAGAGATCTGACAACGATCAGCTAGCAGAGAAGAAAATATTGAACGCTTATTGACCAACCCAGAACCGAGAATGTCCATTCGAAGACGATCTATGCAGCAGAATGTGTTTCTAACATCATTACACAGAATTATGAGGACAGATTTACGCCAGTTTCCCTTCTTTCTTCGTCTTTTATGTTGTGTATCCTTTCAGCGATCATGGTCCTCCACCTCTTCCTGTCCCTTGTAGCTCTCAATAAGTTTTATCTTTTTGTTATTTCTCCCAGACCCTGTTCTGCCATCCACTTGCTTAAGCCCATTAAGCGTGTCACACGTTGCTTTCATTTGTCTCGCTTTCCGCCCTGTGTGTATCAGATTCTCCAAGCCCTCATTTCTCATTACATGTCCCAGAAATTTCAGCTGCCTCTTCCTGATGTTAAGTATAAGTTTCCTCTTTGTTTGCAACCTCTCCAAAACCTCATCGTTACTCACATTGGTACAGGAAATGAAACCAATGGATTATAAGCATTGGCTCGACATAGCTCGACAATTTCAAGAGCTAATGAATGAAGATGAAAATTGGATGCGAGTCCCTAAAGCGGTGGCCACATACAATGCGTTATTTTCCATAATTAATTGAATTAAATTACATTTTGTTATTTTCTTTCTTGTACAGTCATAAATTAATAGTACTGTCGTCAACTTAAAAACTAATTTCACTTTAAAAAAAACAATCGCGACTATATATATATATATATATATATATATATATATATATAATTATTTATTTAAAAATATGATTCCAACTCGCGACATAAGAAGTCTCATGTTTCAAAACAAGAGCCGAAAAACTTCAATATAATTATTTGAATTAAATTGAGTTAAAGTAAGCTCTATTCCATCTTCAAGCGAATTATTTTTTTTTTTTTTGGAATAACGTATTTCTGAAATTTACGTGTTTTACGGGCGAATTGGTTAAATTGGGTAGGCGAGTGTTGGGTGTTAATAATAAGTATCAGTATCGAGTTACTTTCATAGATGTCAAGTCAGGGAAAGATGGGGGTGTCTAAATTTTATATATATATATATATATATATATATATATATATATACCTGGCCACTCGTATTCGGTGATACCCGACTACTAGGGTGGCTAGCCAATCTCAAGACGCTTGTTCAGGCGCATTTGTGTTTATTCAATACCCACAGAACTTATACTACAATTATGCTAAACAGACCTTAGTTTCAGTTTCTGAGAAAGAGCATGTTATCTAGCATGATCAACAATTTGAACAAGGCCAGCATGACTTGTGACTTCGTGGTAAGAAAGCTATCGACGGCCCCCAAGGGTTCCGTCTACACAATTTCACTCACAAGGCTTAGATCAACGCGTTGTACGGTTTTCAGGCACTTTCCAAAGGTGCCGGATGCTGAATCAACCCCTCCAGTCCCATAACATCAGGAAGTCTCCTTCCTAACAAATCGACCATGGTGAGATTCGAATCCGAGTCTCTTGGTCAGAATGCTAACCTTCTGCGTACCACTCTGCCACCTGTCCATTTATATATATATATATATATATATATATATATATATATATATATATATATAGAGAGAGAGAGAGAGAGGCAGCATATCTTCATTCAAAATGTTTTATTAGATAATATAGACACATTATGTATTATGTATATTTATAATTATCTTTCCCCGTTATTTTTCAATGTTAAGATGAAATTCATTAGTAAAGTCGTCGTAGTATTTTCATAATTACAAGTACTTTCGATCTCCTCCAAGCTCTTCCTCATGGGTGAATTACAAAGACAAACTCATTGTGACTATCATCGTTGTAATGGTGATTTTTTTTTAAAAATATCCATTCTGTTATAATTATCATAAAATTTAAATTTATCCTTTGTAGCTAAGGAATTTTTTTGCAAAACAAGCGCCCCAGTATAAGGAAGCTGACCATAAATTAGTATAAATGCAAAATGGCATAGAATGTTTGTTAAATGCACTTCAATACATTGTTGCTACACTCGTAATAAATTTTGTTAAGTGTTGGTTGGTTGTTTTTTATATAGAGGGCGTTGAGTATTTGAAGTTTTTGTTTATTTTTACAGGATGTAGTACGTTGGTGTAGTCGACAAGTATTTTCCTGCATTGTGAAGGTGGACAGGAATGTTGTGCAATAGAACTTGTATCCGATAACTGAAGTGTAAGACGTCTTGATAATGTTGTCGTTGTCAAACCAACATGTACGTACTTTTTTTTATCAGAGATACAATCTCCAAACATTTAAATTGATATACAATGTTGGACTTTTCCAAAACACTAGCCGACAGAGAAAAGTTATTGCATATGATTAAATTGGCTGTGTTAAATTTAGTATGAGGAGGCACTGTGCGTAATGGATAGCGGCTCGGATTGAGCAATCGGAGAGCCGAATTCGAATTCCAGTCAAATCCATTACATTCATTTACGTGCTAATACCGTTGGAAAAGGTATGAACCCTCTTCTTCTTCCCCCAGATATGGGTAAATAGCAGAATACACTGGGTTCTATAGCTTCGGATAGCAACTGGTCTACTGCAGAAAGAAATGGCAACCTACTGCGGGAAAAAAGCTGCCTCATCAGTCATGTATCGAAAGATCGCCTAAGCGTGTATTACGCATGGCACTTAAATGACTGATAATATATAATTAGTTTTATTTTTTACTGGGATTAGTGGAGAATGTATTAGCATATATATATATATATATATATATAGAGAGAGAGAGAGAGAGTAGAGAGAGAGTAGAGAGAGAGTCATCCACAAACAGATTGCTTCGCTATATCACAGCTTCTCAGTGTGGCTAGACGTATGATTGCTTCAAGCCGGGATCGAAATCCAACTGATATGACATCAGTCAGATATCTTACTTTTAGGCCGTCGTCAAACGGCAGAAAGGAATGGAATCTTTAATGTTTATTTTATAACTTTTGATAATACAGGAAGCCTGGGGACTATATCGATTGAAACTACTCCTCCTCCTCCTCGCAGGATTATTTACCAGTCCTCCGTCTCTCGCTTGCAGACCTCGGAGACGGGCTTCTGTCGAACCCTACGTCCCGACCGACGTGTCGTGAAGATTTCCCGCCGTCAGAATAACACCTTGTTTGCCGCTGCCGTCCGTCTCGTGCGGTGGAAAACGTGATGTCTGAAGATTGGCTCCTTCGGATCGTGAATCTCTCCTTTTTGCAAGATGCTACCACTTCGCTCGCTCACGGGTTTTGTTCTCTACGCAAATCTCGGCCATTCTCCCCCGTCAATTTTCTTCACTCGATGCTCGGCTACCACTGGCCAGGGCTGGCTAGACACGCATCACCTCCTGTCGGTTATGGCAGCAGCTGTTGCTCTTATAGTCGGGCTCGTGCCAGTGAATGCGTTAGCTTCCGTTAACTTTTCGTCCGTTTCCGCTCGCTCGCTTCAGATGGATCTTCGTCGCTTGCACATCTCGTCTCTCCTTTGGATTCCTTTTTGTGTCTCGCACGCTACCGAAATACCGGCCGAGGCTTCTTGAGCTGCCATCGCAATCCAGGACGACGCACCCGGCCCGTCGCTGCAATACCGGCCGCCGCACACTGCACCACCGCCGTAATCCCGGACGCCCCCGCCAAGCCGCCTCAATCCAGGACGCCACCGCCCAGCCACCGCAATCCAGGATGCAACGGGCCAGGCGCCATAATCCCGGAAGCCCCTGCCCAGTCGCCGGAATCCATGACGCCCCTGACCAGCCGCTGCAATCCAGCACGCCGCTGCCCAGCCGCCGGAATCCAGGACGCCCTGCACAGCCGCCGTAATCCCGGATGCCAACGCCCAGCCGCCGCAATCCAGGACCCCCCAGCCCAGCCGACGGAAACCAGGACGCCCCTGCCCAGCCGCCGTAATCCCGGATGCCACCGCCCAGCCGTCGCAATCCAGGACGCCCCCGCCCAGTCGCTGCAATGCAACACGCCCCTGCCCAGCCGCCGGAAACCAGGACGCCCTGCACAGCCGCCGTAATCCCGGATGCCCCCGCCCAGCCGCCGCAATCCAGGACGCCACCGCCAAGCCGCTGCAATCTAGGACGCCACGGCCCAGGCGCCATAATCCCGGACGCCCCTGCCCAGCCGCTGCAATCGAGAGCGCCCCTGCCCAGCCGCCGGAATCCATGACGCCCTGCCCAGCCGCCGTAATCCCGGATGCCACCGCCCAGCCGCCGCAATCCAGGACGCCCCCCGCCCAGTCGCTGCAATGCAACACGCCCCTGCCCAGCCGCCGGAAACCAGGACGCCCTGCACAGCCGCCGTAATCCCGGATTCCCCCGCCCAGCCGCAGCTATCCAGGACGCCACCGCCAAGCCGCTGCAATCTAGGACGCCTCCGCCCAGGCGCCGGAATCCCGGACGCCCTGCACAGCCGCCGTAATCCCAGATGCCACCGCCCAGCCGCTGCAATCCAGCACGCCCCTGCCCAGCCGCCGGAAACCAGGACGCCCTGCACAGCCGCCGTAATCCCGGATGCCACCGCCCAGCCGCCGCTATCCAGCACGCCCCCGCCCAGCCGCCGCAATCCAGGACGCCTTTTCAGCAGCAGTTAATTTGAATGTGCCGTAAAACGAAAACGAAATCTTTGAACAAGGACCCCAGACCTGGGGGAAATAAAAGGCTCGCCCCAAAATTAGGATGCTTGTCTCCGTTGGTAGTTGCATAATTAAAAGAAAAAAACTTGTAGTTCCAATGAATGATTTATTTCATAGAAATATTTCGACTAGCAGTTGCCAGTCTTGGTCAGTCCATTAATTTGAGTAAAACAAAGAAACTAGAAACGTTTAAGAATTCAAATCAAGGGAAAAACTGAGTTGATGACGTTTACAAAGTCAGAGCGTATGCTTTTTTAGTGAGGTCGATACCTTATTCTGTATCAAAGTTAGGATGCTTGTCTCCGTTGCATTGTTTTACTCAAATTAAAGGAGTGACCAAGGCTAGCAACAGGTAGTCGAAATATTTCTATGAAATAAATCATTCGTTGGAACTACAAGTTTTTTCTTTTAAATAAAAATGCTCGCTCGTCTATCTACCCACTGGCGGCTTCCGTTCGCTGTCATTGCTGACGACGATTAACGAAAATGAAAACAAACAACGATACCTGGTGTTTCTGCCAATAATCATATGTTTGTCTCAAAGCTTAAGTCATGCAAGCATAAGTTCACGCTTCTACGGCTGTTGTCGTTTCGCACACGTTATTTTACGTCACAGAAATGACTTGCGCTGGCGTGGGGCGCGGAGGAGAGTCACGAGGTTACTGGGTGTGAAAGAAACTGATAAAACGTTACTGTGCGGATAAAAGACAATAAAAATAACAAGCTGAACGGAGGCAGAAGATGTGGTAGACGTTGCATTTACATTTTTTAAAGTTGTGCTTGACAGGAAAACAAGAAGCGGGAAGGGAGTTCCAAAAACAAGAAGTGTGACGGAAGAAACCATTGGAATAGAAGTTACGTTTACACTTAGCAACATCAATTGTAAAAATGATGAGACCTAACTACCAATTTAGTACTGTGCTTCAATTCGTAAAGTCAAACCATAAAAGAGGAGAGCTCATCAGTAACAATTGCCATGAAAATATTCATAGAAAAGACAAAGTGAAGCTACGTTATGCCGTTGGGAATGTGAGTGAAGCCGAGATGCCATTTCAGGACCGATAAAATTGCAGATATTTCTTTGAATATGGTCAAGAATTGTTTAGATATATATCGAAAGACAGAACATCTGCGGCATCAATATTCAGTGCATGGATGAATAAAGACGCAAGATGGAGTAAAACGTCTACTGTGATACATATATATATACTAATTCTTTATAATAAAACAGTATATATGCATGAAGAAAGAATATGCATACACATACTAGCAAAAACCCACGCACACACACAATAATGAAAAATACACTGTAGAAACTTTTAAATGTAGCCGTCTCTTCTACTCCAATAGCTTCATACCTCGCACCTGTCGCCTGTGGAACACTCTTCCCAATTACTGTTTCCCTGAAAACTATAATCACCAACTATTCAAATGTAATGTCAATGGACACCTCCAGTTACCTTGATCTACCCACTATCCTTCTCCTCATCCTTTCTTCTATCACTCCTATCTGCTCTTGCTCCAAATCCTCTGCAACCCCCTGCATCCTAGTGGCTTCACGCCTTGCTCGGGGCGTAATGCTTAAAAAAAAAAAAGTTCTAAGAAGATACAGAGGTCATAAAAGATACGAACGAAGACCTTCTTCCTTCACCCTTTCTCTGACCAATCCTAATTGTTTTATTACCCCTTAAGCAGAAGATACTTTCGCCACAAGTCCAAGACAAAAACTTACACACAAAGACAATGGTTAAACATCGGAAAACATAAAAAAAATTAATTCGTTTTCATAATATGTGGAAATAATCACTCTTTGCCTGATGATGGTCGTGAGAGTGGAAACCCGTGTAGAAAAAATATGGAAAGTAAAGTATAATATATACTTAAAAAGATCCACATTATAACCAAAAACCTTTGCGGCTTCTCTCTTCTCTTTAAAATATTTACTTTTCTCTCGTTGGAACAACTGTTACCTCTTCTCTTTAAATAACTACAATGGAAGACTGACACGAACAAAAAAGAAAACCATGGAAGAACCAAAATTTTCAAAAAGAAACAGTAACTTCTGGAATAAGAAATACGGAAATTGAACGAAAACAAATGGACACTAAAACTTTTACAATTCACATCCCCAAAAAACAAGGAACACAACTACAACACAAAAACACTGATGGAATATTTCAAAACACAGTGTGGATACATAGAAAATATCAAAAAATCGCATATCCAAGAGAAAGCGTACAAAACGAGGAGACAGAATCTACGGATATGAGACAACATACTTAATGAAAACTAGAAAATTTTCAATGCCATCAAAAACAAAGAAACGACAACAATATACAAAACCTTCATAGAAATGGAGGAAATATTTATTCCAAGGAAATTCCGGGGAAAAAAATAATCCACGAGGCACGGGAAAACAGAAAAAAAATAAAATATAGTCTAAGCCTAGCAAAATTACAGGCCTAAATTGAAATACAAGAAAACAAAACAATATACTTCACGAAAAAATACACCGAGATCGGCAATAAATTGTTGACAGAAATCAAGGAATTATGTCCCAAAGAAACTCATCAATTCCTATCAGAATTATGGAAGTCAAAATGCAAAGAAGAGGAGGAAAAATCCCGGAATATTTTGGAAAGAAAGATAACCTGGCTAAAAACTTTACCAAGTAAGGAAAAATCGGATAATGAGATAAAACCAAAAAACACGAACCAAACTCACAATAAAACACAATACTCAACACAAAACAACTGCATGCGACATCAGCAAATATAGAGAAAATCAAAATTCCCCACAAATCTCTACACACAATTCATACAGAAACAATAAATCTAGAAACATCTGGAACACCACTTATAATAAAAACAAACACACTTATATAGAAACATCTAGAAACAACAACTCTATGAAGAGAAACTGTCAATGGCTAGAAAACCCAAAACATGTAGAGAGATGTTATCTCTTAGAAAACCCGGAATATGGGGAAAGAAACAATCATTATTTTTTAGAAGCTCCAGTCCGAACAAAAGACAAGTTTAAGGGCCCAAAACCCAAAATAATAAACCTATTTACATATACACTTAGAAAGGACGAAATCAACCTATTAAATTTAGGCCTAAAATTCTGCCCTGCTCTAAAAAGCAATATAACAGACCTAAAAAAAAGACCTTAAAGAATTTGAACGCAAACTCAGACTAAAAGAAGCATTTAATAATAACGAAAACATTACAGATGAGCCATTAGTAAAAATAAATAAATCCAATTTCTTCCCAACCAAATAATAATACAAATGAGCTAAACATATTTTTTGAAAAACTATGGAATCTCGATCTACAAAAAAAAATCCAAACCATTCAACAACCTTACATACAGACAAAGACTAGCCTTAGAGAGCATCCGAAGAAATAACAACATAATTATAAAGGAAGCAGATAAATGCAGCGATATAGTGATCATAGACAAAATATATTATAAAACAAAAATTCTAGAGGCACTAGGGGATCAGAACAACTACAAATTAATCGACACCAACATTGACAAAAATATTACATCAAACATTACAAAACTCTGCACAACACATAATAAGATATTAACAAACAAAAAAAGAAAAGGATTTCCTAATAAACTTCGTACCAAAAATAAGCACTATCTACGAACTACCAAAAAATCAGAAATCGAGTGAAATAAAAACAGTTATCCAGGCACAAAAATCTGAATACATTAACATCCCAAACCCCAGTGATCTTATATTCAGACTCATGGTAGCAGGACTAGTCTGTTAGACTAGTAGATTCAATGAGTTAATAGACACAATACTACAACCATTTATTAAGCAGATTAAAAGCTACATCAAAAACGATATTCACTTCCTTAACTCCATACCGCAAAAAGTAGATCCGGGAACACATATGGCTACTTTTGACGTCAGTAGCCTATATAGCAACATACCCCATAAATTAGGTAAAAAGGCAATCCCATTCTGGATTGAAAAACATCCAGAAACACTACATTCCAGATTCACTAAGTAATTCATTATCGATAGTATAGACCTAATTCTAAACAAAAAACACTTTTGAATTTGACCAAAACAACTATACCCAAATTCTAGGTACTGCAATGGGAACAAAAATGGCACCAACATATGCCACCCTAACATTGGCTTACCTAAAGAAAAACCTCTTTGAAAAGATAGAAAAAATATATGGGGAAAATATAAAACCACACTTGGCTAAATCTTGGAAACGATACTTAGATGATTGCAAATCCTCACGGTGCGATATTAATCAATTCTACAATCTACTTCAGAACTTACACCTGAAAATCAAATTCACCCAAGAATATAATTTCAACGAATTATCATTTTTAGATATACTCATTAGAAATAGAAACAACCACATAATCATAGATATCTACTAAAAACCTACACACACCCATCAATATCTTCATTTCAAGAGCCATCACCCAAAAAGCTGTCTAAAATCCATCCCCTATTCCTTAGCACGTAGGGTTTGTACTATAGCGACCGACAAACACCTCCGAAAAACCCGCCTAGAAGAACTACATAAAACTCTAAAAAAAACGAAGCTACTCCACAACACTAATAAGCAAAGGTTTTAAACTATCAGAAAAAATACCTTTAGACCAACTACGAAATCCAAAGAAACGTAACGTCGAAAAAACTCTAGCATATGTCTCAACATACAACAAGAACAATCTAGAACTATTTACAGAAATTACAAAAAAAATCCCGACCTACTTAGCAAGAATGACGAACTGAAAAATATACTAAAAACAAGCAAAATAATTAAAAGCAAACGCTAATCTAAAAACCTGAAACACATACTAACCTCGTCCAAATTTAACCAACACACAATACAGGGAGTCACAAAATGCAACTTTTCTTTCCCTCTTCTTTTTAATATATACACTTTTCTCTCGGTGGAACAACCTTAACC